GCTTTACTTGCTGCTTGTCCTGTAGCATCTGTAACACTAGTCACAATTTTCTCTTTGATATCTTGCGTAGCAGTTACAGTTTTATCTGTTGCATCTTTAACACCAGCTACTGTTTTTTCTTTTGCATCTTTTACTCCTTCTACTGTTTTATCTTTTACATCTTTAATTTCAGCAACGGCTTTGTCTTTTACATTATCTACAGATTTTACCGCTCGTGATGCAGCTTCTTTCGCTCGTTCTTTGTCTTCTTCAGCTTCACTTTTGGTCTTATCCAAAAACTGTTGAACATCATCGGACGCATCATCAACTGAGCTCTTCGATCCCCAGAAAATACTTGAGAAAAATCCAGATGTTTTATCTTTAGCTTTTTTAGTCTCTTTCTCAGATTTGTCTTTCGCTGACTGGGCCGCGTCTACAACAGTATCAACACCAGTGGAAAGTGCACCTTTCACAGCTTTTGCATCTTCTTTTAATTCTTTTATCGCAGCGTTTTTCAAATCGCTTGCGCCATCTTTTAGTTCTTGTGCTTTAGATTCTACTTTATCAGCAGTTTTGTCAGCTTTATCTCGGGCATCTTTTACTTTAGTTTCTGCCTTATGCTTGATACTTTCTGCTTTTTCTAGCGTTTTGTCTTTGGCATCTTTTACTTCAGCTACTGATTTCCCAGCAATTTCTTCTGCTCCATTTATCACTTTGCCTTTCACATCTTTAACACTCGCAACTGTTTTATCTTTAACTTCTTGAACTTCTGTTACTGTTTTATCTTTTAGATCTTTAATTTCAGTCTTGGCTTTATCTTTTGCATCATCTACAGATTTTGCAACTTTAGCAGCTGCGACTTTTGCACGTGCCTCTTCTTCGACAGCTTCAGCTTTAGTTTCATCTAAAAATTCTTTAAAATCATCAGAGACATCTTCTACTGCATGCTTGGCTCCTTTAAATATTCCTGAGAAGAATCCAGATGTTTTTTCTTTAGCTTTCTTCGTTTCTTTTGTAGCTTTATCTTTTCCTGACTGTGCGGCATCTACAACAGCTCCAGCACCAGTGGTAACTACTCCCTTTACAGCTTTAGCATCTTCTTTTAGTTCTTTTGCTGCAGCATCTTTTGCGTCTTTTGCGCTATCTGAAACTCTGCGAGCTGTGGTTTCTATTTTATCAGCGGCTGTCTTTTCACTAGAAACGATTTTACCTTTTACTTCTGCAACAGCTGAAGCACTCTTATCTTCAACGTCTTTAATACCAGCTGCTGTTTTCTTGGTGAGATCTTTGGCTCCTTCTACTGTTTTGTCTTTTACATCCTTTACTCCAGCTACTACTTTCTCGGAGACATCATATGTTCCAGTTATTGCTTTGTCTTTCGTATCTTTTGTTATAGTCACTATTTGTTCCTTGGTCTCCTGTGTTACTGCAACCGTCTTATCTTTAATATCTTTTGCACCAGCAATTGTATTTTCCTTTACATCTGCTCCTTTTGCTACTGTCTTATTTTTCAGATCTTTAACGTCAGCAACAAGTTTATCCTTAGCATCATCTGTAGCTTTTACAGCTTGTCCAGCTGCTTCTTTTGCATCAGCTCCTTTCTCTGCTACCTCGGTTTTTGTTTCTTCTACAAAATCTTTAACATCATCGGATACGTCTTCAACTGTTTGCTTAGCTCCCTTGAAAATACCCGAGAAGAATCCCGATGTTTTGTCCTTTGCCTTTTTGGTTTCTTTCGCAACTTTATCTTTCGCTGATTGTGTACCATCCACAGCAGTACCAACACCAACGGTAAGCGTATCTTTTACAGCTTTAGTATCTTCTTTCAATTCTTTTGTTGCAGCATCTTTTACATCTTTTATACCGTTTAGAACTTTTTGTGCGGTGGTATCTGCTTTATCACTGGGTACCTTTTCGGTTGGTGGAGTTTGTTCTTTAGTCTTATCCTCTTGACTTTGCGGTGAAATTATATGTGATTGTTGATAACCACTAATTATACCAGCGGTATTTCGTGTGTCTTCCAAAAACTTGGCTGTTGTTTCTTTGAAATCACTTTGCGGTACTTCAGGTGGTAAACTTTTTTCTTTAGATTTGCTTCGGGAGCCACGTTGCAATCTGGGACTTCTAAACATTCCAAAAATTCCACCACTTCTTTCTTTGCTACCTTCATCTCCTGATCCAGATTCCTGGCTTTCTTCTTCCTTTTGGATCGATGGTTTGCTTGACCGTTCCATAGTTTTGATGTCTGCATTATAAGAATCTTCATCTGCGCTATCGAACGATCTCTCCTTCGAAGTACTACGATCTCTCTTTTTAGATTTGAGTTTAGGACTTTTAAATATACCAAAGAAGTTACCTTTCTCCTTACTTTCTTCTGCAGTTTCTTTATCAGTTTTTTTATCTGGTGATAGAGTTTGTTCAGGTGTCAATTTATCCGTTACATCGTACGAATGTCTACTAACTTTGTCTATTGGTACATCAAAGCTATCGTAAGTAGGAGCACTAAACGTAGCTACTGGACTTGTTGCAGTAGGTTTTGCATCATCCGTCTTGTAACTTATATAAAGAGCATCCTCGTCAGCAACTTTACGTGTTTCCTCGAGGAATTTTTCAGTCGTAGATTTAAGTTCTTCGTCACTATAATCAAACGATGAATCTTTTACTTTACTTGTTTTTTTATCTTTCAATTTTGGACTTCTAAATATACCGAATATACCACCGCCACGTTCTTTACCAGTTGTACCTGTTTCGCTATCATCCTTATCTTCTTTTTTTGGTGATTCCTTTGAGTCAGATTTAGGAACATTTTCTTGTTTAATCGGACTACTCTTGGACGTTATTTCGAGATTCTTACTATCCTCTCGTTCGATCTTTTTATCTATTTCATCAACAGAATTTATTATCTGATCTGGTTTGATCGTTGACGTTCCATTTACATGTTCTTTTTTCGTTTCTACAGTCGTAATAGTCGTAATTTTTTCTTTTACTCCTGACACTACTTGTGGCTTAGTACGAACTTCGATAGACGATTTGTCCTTTTTATCTTCTACGGGAATTGTTACTGACCCATTTTTTTCGGTTGATTCTGGTAATGCATGTAAGATAGCAGCAGTATTTTTAGCATCCTCCAGTAAATTTATAGTTGTTAGTTTGATATCAGATAAGGCAGTTACTGTTTCTTTCTGTGCTGGAGATGTTTTATCGCGAGATGTAGTTACAGGTTTTGATACTGCCTCAGATACTGGGAGAGTTTTGTTTTCCTCATCTCCGCTATCAAAAGATGTCTCTTTTGAATCTTTGGATTTTCCTTTTTTTAATTTGGGACTTTTAAATATACCCGAAAATATACCACCACTTTTATCTTTCACCTTTGTCAACGTATTTGTCGTTTCTTCTTCAAGGTTCTTTGTAGGATATTGAGCATCATATACGTCCTTATACGCGGAATGACGCTTATCGGTAATTGATTTTCCATCTTGTTCAACTTTGCTTTTCGTCGGAACATCCATTTCGATTTTAGTTTTGATTTCTGTCGTTTTAATCTTTTTATCGGTATCTTTCGTTGGTTGCGATGTCCCTTTGATATCACCTTGCGACAACTTTTCATCAACTTCTTTACCTTCCTTGGACATCTTCTCTTTTTCGCTAACTTCTGCTTTACTTTGAGGTAAGATGATCGAATCTGTGGAAGTTACTGTAACTATCGGGGGTTTAATATCTTTTATAATGGTAATCTGTCTAACAACTGGTTGTTCTACTACTGTATCCTTCTTTAAAATGCCTGTTTGTTTTGGGGTAGAAATTTGCTTTTTAGGATCCCTTTTCCCACCGTGTGCTCGTTCTTGTTTAATTATCAGTGGTTCTATATCGTCTCTAACTTTTGGTTGTAGAATAATACCTAACTCCGCATCCCTAAATTGATCTGAACTTTGAACTATCTCTTTGTTAAATGAAATTTGCCCTACAGCACCTCTCACCTTCTCACTGTCCCGCATATCATCATAAACCACCGACCACCCTTCCTTCGCTAACTTCTCCTTTTCTTTCTCTGCATCAGCTATTACACCTGTTAATTAAGTATTATATATTTTAGCCATCTGTAAACGTAACATATGTAAAGGAACACATTTTATTCGTTCATATTGCGTCATCATTAGTGTAAGCCGGCTCGTTCGTCATTGTTCTTTGATTGGAGCAGAGGTTAGATTGCCGCGTGGATTGTGCGTAGAGTGTATGTGCTGTGGAGCAGCCATCCTTCAATTAATAATAGTACATTAACTACTTCCAATGAATGACGATGATGAAATATATAAATAATTGATTATTCATTACCCATCATTTCTGATATAGTAAATACCTATGCATTCTTGTGTGATCGGTAAATGTAAATGTGCGATGTAATCATTGTATTTTATGTATTTCTTTTTTATAAAAGTATCATTATATTCCTCAACCCTAAAGAGGGCAAATATTATAAATAAAAAAAAAATTAAATATAAATAATATTATTTTTTATTTGGCGTCGTATCGTTTGCTAAACGATAATTCGTTATTGTAAACTTTAACAACGCTAGTATTTACTTGATTTTCATCTACTTTTACTTTACTAATAAATAATTATATCTATTTATTCTAATAATCTATAAAGACGGCTGCTCCGTGCGCCCACACAACAAGGCCACACACATTTTGACTGTTCATGCATCGCCAAATAATTGTAGCATAATCTTGCTGAAACAAATTGCTAGGAATGTGTTGAAGACTAGAGAAAATGTATTAGCGAAATGATTAAATGGATTATGTTAAAAAAAATCGTATAGTTATATACGATATATACATATATATGAAATGTCGATCGAAAGGCAAATTAAATAAATCATTACTTATTAAGAAAGATAAGCAAGCTGAAATATGAAGATATCCACAGCGGCGTCCGGAACCTGTGAGTAAAATTAAAAAGACAAGATGGTAACCGTTTAGTGCACTAGAATGCGAATGTATCGGCGCGTTTTGCACATATTTAAATATAAATTGGTTTATTATTTGAGCGATAAGATAGTATTCAAATTTGTTCTTCGTATAAAAAACTAAATTTTCACTTTAAAAACAGACAAATTATGTTCTTTTCAAAATATCTATTACGATCATACAATATAAAAACATAATCCGTTATGAGATGGCACCATTCGTGGATAAAAATTAAAGAAAATTGAGAATATACCTTTCATTCTCATTACACAGAAAATAATAAAACGATAACGTGCTATTCAGTGCGTTAAAAGTGTCGATACGTATTATTTTCATTTAATTATTTATTACTAAAAATGAATTATTAGCTATTAAAAGATTGGATTATTTTTAATTGTGTAGTACATTAATAAATATATATATTTACAAATGAATATGTATAGTTGTAGTTAACAATTTTGATGATACCAGAAAATTTGTATACATTAATAATCTATTTCGAAATAGTAAATAGTTAATAAAATAAATCGATACTTTAGAAAGAAGCGTGCGTTATCGTATTGGGCTAAACATGCTGCGAAAGTTTGAATGAAATAAGTAGGTGCTCATCGATAGCTTGTCGTATATCCTTTTAATTATAATATTATCCTTTTTGCAGATAAAAAGCACGGCCCCCCGGCCCCTCAACCCACCAGATTTAGAAATAATACACTAAGTCACTTACCAGAAACTATTTTATTAGCGTCGTCAATCACCCTTTTTCGTTTAATTTCTTCGTCGTCGAGCTCGTCGCGTGACTTTTTACTCATCGTGTCGGTAATGTGACATTTATGTTCAATGAAATCGGCCATCATATCTCCCAATTCTTTTTCATCGCTTGCATATTTATTTTTGATGGGGGTCGAGGTTCCGTTGAATACAGTGCCATTTGCGATTGTGACATGCTGCTTGGCTGTTAAGTGCGGAGAAACGTGTTGTGAACGAAGAGCCGAAATATAACGTGTTAAAATATGTTTTTAAATATGACGTGATTCATCAGCTAAGTGATGCATAATGAACAATGAAATATAACACGAATCATAATTAAAATTACTATTGCTTAACGTGCATTGTATTGTTTCTATAATCACTATTATATTACTTTGCAAAAATTCAGATCTCTTTCTCTACTGCTATTCTTAAGTAATTATTATAAAAAAAAATGTATAATGTAATATTTTAAATAACAAAAAGAGAAATGTGTATATAATCATAAATATACTATAATGAAATTTAATTATAAAAATAGATATTATTTCTTTCATACACTTTTGCTATCACTATTAATAAATTTTTACTTACATCGTTTATCCTGCAAATGACCGGTGTTACTAAGCTCTTCTACGGATTCAGATTCCTAGAATTGAATCATATTTGATTATAATATATCTGATACATTGCAATGGTATGCATGGATTGTATAGATAATATTGCATACCTTCATTCTATCTGGTTCCTCATAATCAGGATCCATTTTTGGATCCATAGTTGCATCACGTCGAAGAGATGTGTCTCTGGAAGGTCCTAATTCCTCTTTCAAGGAGTCAAAACCTGGCTGATCTAACCGAACCCTTGCTACTGCTTTTTCGACATCGTCAGTGATTAGTTCTACGTTAAATATACATTTGTTTACAATATCTTCTCGGCCAATCTTCTGGAGTGCTTTTTCTAAAGTATTTCCTATAAAAAGAATATTTATGTAGGATCACGAGGTTCGAAGCTCCATCATCTTAATATAGATCATGTTTGCGCGTTCGTATGAGATTACAAAAAAAAAACAAGGATCAAAGTTTATCGAAAAAGTCTTATAGCTAAAAGGAAAGCAGAAAATAATTAATTGAATGATTGCTTTTTTTTTTTAATTGTTTAAATTAAGTTTATATACTCTTTCGTTATAATTTCTTTAACTTTTTCTTTCGAGATCTCTACGTTTGTATTATATTATAAGACATGCATGTGTATACATATAATATTTTTTATAAGTATAACTACGTAACAACTATTTATAGCAATGTAATAATTAGTACAAATTCACGAAATAAATAATACGTACGAGTATATACGTTTAGTATTTAGAAATTTTGTTTTCTAAACCACTCACTCTATATATATATGAATATTTATATTTAGAAAATCATTTTCTATAACCGACGTAATTATATTTAGAAATATTCTTTTCAAATAAACGCACTTTTAAAAATAATTCGTTTAAAAAATTGTCCAATTATTCCATTTATATAACATACCTGAAACTTTGGAAGTGTGATGACATATCGAAGGCGTTTTGTGAAATATTATTAAAAGTTCGCTAGTATATAAATTCGTCGTTGGATTTTGATACTCTTGATACAAAGATATGTGCATCTTCGTTTTAAATTTGTAATTAAATGTACCATATAAAAATTATTTATTTTTAAATCACTACACACTCTCTTTTCACACGATATCACTGACACGTTAAAGTAAAAAGAAAAAATCTATAAAATTATAACGAACTGTTTGATATAAATTCTCAAGGAGAGAACTGACAAACAGGAAATAACAAACACGAGTAAATTTGACTGTATCCTTCAGACAATACTGCGCGACTGTTTGTCGTTCCACTGATTGCTGAGAGGTTTTGCGTACTTCGTCAAAATAAGATGGAATCATTATAGTAGTGGGAAAGAAAAAGAAAGAAATAGAGAGAGTTGTGAGTTATGTCAGGAATAATAATGTAGCATGAGATCATCAACAACATTACGATCGAGATTCCACACGTCTGAGTCAATCGCAGTGAGCAAATCTTGTTTTCTTGACCTTGCGTGATGAAGCACGCTTCGACGATTATGGTATAATTATGATGTATCGTACTAATATAAATTGAATTCATTTGGCACCTATTTATATAGTTTCTATCATATATCTATAATAGAAACTACAATAATAATTAAAATATATTTAAACTTACCCGTCGCCTTATTCCCATTACTTTGCCAGAGTTTGAACATTGCTGCCGCTTGTTGAGCTGGCTTATCAGGATAATTCTGTTTTATCAAGGATACATCGTTCGGAGCAATGTTAAGTTCTTCTGCTAATGGTTCCCAGTCCTTGCCTAGTAAATTTGCTATATCCCTTAAACGTATAGTTGCTCTATGTATAGCATCCGGTCGACCTAAAAAAAAAAAAAAGAAATTACAACGTCTCAGCTCGATATACTTAACTGGTAATTAAAAATATAATCCTAATCACAATAATAATAATAATAATAATGTAATCAATAATTGTTACATACTGATTCCACCATCGCGTAGAAAACTATAATTTTTCGATAATTCAAGTAAATCCAATTCTGAGACTGCAGGCTCTGGCGAAATCTTTTCAGGTAATAAAATATTCAATGTACATATTGGCGTTTGCGGTATCTCGCCTTTAGGAACCTTAGGCTCACTCATAAACATTATTCGACCCATCATATCTACCGCATCTGGATCTTTTATCCGCGCAGTAAAAGGTACTCTATTTTCTTTAAACGCTCTGAATGGTAATTGAAGTTGTTCGCCGCTTTTTAATACTGGTACGAGATTACCCGTAAATTCCATGTATTGAGTTTTGCCTTCTAAAACCTGCACAACGTACACAATGTAGTAAATTTGACTAACATTTCTTATTTTATATTAATACAAAATTTACACACACACACTTACTTCAACATCTCTACTCTTCGCAACTTCAGTAAAATGTTCTTGATGTTCAAGAGTTTTATCCTCTTTGTCATCGGTCATACAAAATACGCGTATCCTGGCCTCCAAAGGATCTATACGTTTGGCGAATACTACGAATCTATAAATAATATCGAATAATGTATTAAATTCAAAAAATAAAAAACTACCAAAGAAAAAAAGAATTATATTCCTAAAGACGAAGATAATTATTTTGCAAAATAGTTGTTGTTATCCATTCAGTATAATTGTCAAACGTACTTAGCCATAAATGGTACATGAGTAGCATGGGTATATAATTCTGTAGCCATTTTGGTTGCTTCCGAAATATTTCGGCAGTCCATTAGCCAAAAACGAGCAGATACCGTGGTTGTAAAAGAGACACAATCCTTGACGAAAGTCAACGGCGTCGAACCTGTGACATCCTCCCAGACTGCCCGAGACTGACCCCCTGAACGACATACATGTCAAGTCCAATAATATTATTAAAATATGTCCGTACTAAAAATGTTCAATAACAGTAGTGAAACGTGTGTTTTTATCCGGTGCGACCGAAATTAATTACAGTCTCGAATAAATGTGAAGAGAATTAAGGTAGTAATTTTTATAATATTTAAATCATTTTTTTTTATGATTATGAGTGCAAATATGTTGATTTCATTAGCAAATAGAAAGGACGGGAAGATGCTTGACGTAATCATTCTCGTTTTATAATGAATATGAATAATGATTTTTAGAAATATTATTTTTCTTTATAAAGAAGATATGATGAAATATTTTAGACGTAGATATGCTTGTATATATATATTTGTATATACACACACACACACATACTCATGGAATTGGGTAAAAAATAGAAATTCACTAAAACCTGAAAATACATACAAATTACAAATAATATATACGTATATGATATTTATAAAAATTTAATGAACGTTATGTATTTAACATCGGTCTCTAGAAATGTGTATAGCGTGCTATGGATTATTATGTACACAAGACAAGTATAATGAATATAAAAAAAGCTTCGTTATTTGCATATTTTTATACGCACCAATTGAGAGAAGATATTTATAAATACCTAGATAAAAAGCAACACGAGAGTACTCTGATCTCAGAAGATATGTATTTCAAACAAAACGCACAAATATTAGCGAGTGTAGTTGAAATTATTGAAAAAATATAACGTTATTTGAAAAACGAAAAAGAAAAAATTATATAACGTAAATCTGTGATATTTGTTGAACAGCTATGAAGCCCCGGATTGAAAATGTCAACGAAAAAGAAATGTGGCTGCTGTGCACATTTATTAATTTAATATAAAAAAATAAAAATAAAAGAAATTTAAAAAAATGCGATATTTTGCAATACTTCTTCATCGTTAGAATAAGTTCTAACGTTGAATAGTACTTTATCGATTTCAGGTAAGTACCGTGTATCTTACATTAAGCACAATGTCGATTAGATAATAAAATTTGATTTAGAATGAAAGCTTGACATATTGAAGCAATTACCATTCAACTGAATGTGCTGAAACAAAAACTTGTAATTTGACGCTTACGATGAGCTAAGTAATAAAACTTTGATCTACTTTTAATTAATAATCCATACCTAAATGACTCAATCCTAACAATATGCAAGCATTAACAATGAATCACAACAAGATATGTATACAACAATGGTACTCAACGAAATGTTTCTATGGAACATGCAGCTACCATCTCCCTTTTAAATCTCTATCCGAAGGTCTTCGGGATACTGCCACTGATAACGAGAAAACTTGAAACGATGCATACACTTTCAATAAGAAGATTATAAATTACAGTTGAAAATAATTCACTTGGCTGACACTTACTCGATAGACAAGATCTTCCTCGACCCTTCAGTATCGATTTTCCTTTTTTTAAAAAGAGAAAAATTGTTTACGTGTCTGATTTATGCAACTAGGAAAAAAAACTAATTTTTGTAAGCTATTATATGAACTAATTGTAAGAATAAAAAATAAAACCATCTATCTCTCTCGTAATAATTTCCACATTCCACGAATAAACGACCTTTTTTCTTTTTCTTTTTACGTAAAGTTCTGTTTTTTTTCCTTCGTTAATGTGTAATCGATATATTTACAGAGATCACAACCCTTCATTATTTGTTCATTTAATTGAAATAGATTATATAAATAATAGTACAATATTAGTAGAAACAATTATCTCGCCCGATACCAAAGGGTAAACCGCAGTCAGTGTTTATCAGCTATAGATAAATTATAAAAATTACTAAAAAAAAAAAACCAGTATTAGGAAAAAAAAATAAATAAAGAATAAAAAAAAATATATATATATATATATATATATTGCGATCGCAAATATGAAAACGATATAAGTATATAAGTTTAATATGCGTAGCTACAAATACACAAAAGACTATTATAAAAATATAACACTTAAATATCGCAAATGTTATTACATGTGTGTATATGGTATAAAAATAAAAAACCGATAGCATGCCGCGCAGTCCCGACGACCTGAGAACAGACGAGATTGCCTACCGACGTTGTCATCATGCCTAACTAAACTACAAATTGATTTACTCGAATGCTTAAAAAATCTGGTAAGATATATAATATATATATATATTAGGGTGGGTCAAAAAAATGACTTATTTTTTTTTTTCAAGTGCCACGGAAAAATGGGTTGCTAGACACCTTAAAACAATTCTCACCAAATATAAGCTC